GTTGATCTGAACTATTCCTAATTTCTTTCTCAAAGTTAGGAATTTGTCGATCTTCAGTCTATTAGTGAAAATGTCAGTCAACTGTGCTTCACTCGAGCAATGTCTCACTTCAAGTTCACCCTGGTTTATCTTTTCCCTTAGGAAATAAAACCTAGCCTTAATGTGCTTACTCCTTCCATGCAGAACTGGATTCTTTGCAAGACTAATCGCTGACTTGTTGTCAATCTACAACACTAGAGGTTTTTTTCACATTGACCTCCATCTCTTCCAGCACATATCTGATCTAAACTACTTGACACGCAGCATATGGTCCTGCTATATATTCAGCCTCACATGATGATAATGCCACCATATGTTCTTTTTCAAGCACCATGAGATTGGGGCACCAAATACTTGAAAGAAATAATTAGTTATTCTTCTTCGATCTTCCTTATCTCCACACCAATCAACATCTAAATAGCAAGTAATATCATCTTTTTGCTTTCAGAATCTCGTGGAACTAGAATTCAATAGTTTGTCTATCCTTTTAAGTATCTCAAGATTCTTCTAGTAGCCTTCATGTGTGAAACCATTGGTTCACTCATGTATCTGCTCACTAATGTGACTGAGAAACCTATATCAGGTTGACTGTTTCATACATATCTCAAAGATCCAACATCTTTTTTTGAACAAAGTGGCATTGAATTTATCTTCCTTTCAATGCTTCTCCAGCTACAAATTTGGTTCGACATGTGAGGATGCAGGATTCGAGTCTTCCATCCTGAATCTCTTGAGTATTTCTTTGACATACTTTCTTTGATATAGTCTCATACATTGGTTCGACATGTGAGGATGCAGGATTCGAGTCTTCCATCCTGAATCTCCTGAGTATTTCTTTGACATACTTTCTTTGATATAGTCTCATACATTGGTTCGACATGTGAGGATGCGGGATTCTAGTCTTCCATCCTGAATCTCTTAAGTATTTCTTTGACATACTTTCTTTGATATAGTCTCATACATTGCTTCAACATTTGAAATTCCATGCCTATGAAGTATGAAAACTTTCCTAGATCCGACATTTCAAATTCCTTCTTCATCAGCTCTTTGAACTTTGACAAGTTCTCCAAGCTATTTGTAGTGACTAACAAGTCATCGACATATAAGCAGACGATTTTTATATCTTGTGCCACAACCTGGACATAGAAACCAAACTCATATTTGCATTTGATGAATTGTAATTCGACTAAGTATGAGTCGATATTCTCGTTACATGCCTTATGTGCCTGCTTGAGGCCATAGAGTGTTTTATGCAGCCTATATACTTTCATTGCTTCCTCTTGTATCACAAACCCAGGAGGTTGTGTAACAAACACATATTCATCTAGAGGACCATTCAAAAATGATGATTTCATATCTAAATGAAATGTCGACCAATCTTGCTACTAGTGCATATACTTCAGAGCAGTCAAGTCCCGCTCTCTGAAGAAATTTTCAAGCTACTAATCTTGCCTTATGTATTAATGTTGATTCATCATCATCATGATTCAACTTGAACACTCATTTCACTTTGATAGCTTTTATATGTGTTAGCAGTTCGACTAACTCTCATATGTTGTTTCTTTTAATCGCTTGTAACTCTTAAACCATAGCTGACTTCCATTGTTTATTCTTTACAGCCTCGTTATAGTTGATTGGTTCAGCACTTGCAAGTAAAGTGAAATGAGCCAAATCTCCATTTGGTGTGACTTCATCATCACCGACCACTTCACTATCTTGAAGCCTTGTTATGAGTATTATGATTCTCTGAGTCTTGTCTCATTTGCCCTTGAATTTGTTGGACCCACCATGTTTCTTTCATGTCTGAGCTTGTAGAGCTTGTATCGAATCTTGAACAACTTTCCTTTTGACAATCCTCATCTCATTTGCCGCCAACGAACCAACCAAATTTTCCAATTTCAATGTTTCAAGATTGTTGGATTCTTGAATAGTAACGATAATGTGATTAAACTAAGAGGTCAATATATGCATTACCTTCTCACCTATCATCTTATCATTTATGGTTTCACCACAACCTTTCATGATATAAACAAGCTTCTGCACCTTTGATACATAGCCTGCAATTTTTTTCTTCTTCTCTCATCTGCAGTAATTCATACTACCTTTGCAATGTCTGTAATTTGATGACTTTAACTTGCTCACCTCATTCGTAATACTTGACAAGAATATTTCATGCCCCCTTCGTCGATTCAGCTTGAGAAATTCGTCAAAGTTCACTGCGTCTAGCATTGATAAAATATAAAACGCGGTCTTGCAGTCTTTCTTCTTGACCTCCTTATTCGCGACTCTTTGAGCATCAGTTGCATTCTCAGCAAGCTCATGGACGTCATTAGTAACTACTTATAGGGTTTGATGAAAGTCAAACAGAGATTGCATTTTTTCTCCATCGGATCCAATTCTTGCCGGCAAGAATTGGAAGAGAATTCAAAATGTCATTCTTACCATTCATTTTTGCAACAAATGCAATTAACAATCCACGATCCTGAAAACACGATCACCAACGTGTAATTCTTGAAAACTCGATCAAAAAACTAACCAAAATTTTAGATACTAATTTGTTAGTACGTTAGGCACTTTTTAAGATGAGAGAGAGAATACAAATTATTATTATTGAATGTAATTATTATTAAATGATATAAAACTAGATTACAATTTATGTATATATACTGTTAAATAACTTGAGTACTAAGTAACTAACGTTCTAACCATAACCCTAATTAATTCAAACTTAAACTACAACTTAAATTATATTACTAACACACAATATATTATATAAATACATCTTGATTACCAAATTCATAAAATTGTTACAATCTTTATTCTATTGTATTTTGTTTACAAAATCCAACTTTTGAAACTAGTTTATTTTTTAGAGGGTAGGTGGGTTATGATGATTTCTACCACCATTTTATTTTATTGAATAATTCTTCAAAGTTGGCGGTGGCATTCAACGAAGCATATCTATATTTTGTTTTGTTTAGAATTTGCATGCTACATGCATCACTATCTTTCACTATCTTTTTAATACAATACTATATATCCTTAATTGGTAACAACGCTATTTTATAATAATATTGAGTTTTTTTTATTCTAACAGTCAAGCTTGTAGGGTGGCATGTTCATGAGCACGCCGCACGAACTTTCGTTTTTCATTCTTCCATAAACTTAATCCATTTGAAATATATCATACGATAAAAAATAAAAATAAAGGTAATAATTAATAGTGTGTAATTTGACTTAATTAACAACTCTTTCAATAGTTTGAGGAATTCTGATTTTTCTACACAACAAGGGGCTGCTATGTTTGATTTTCTACAACTATTCAAAATAAAAATACAAGGGGCTGCTGCATGCTATAGTGTTCTTTGTGGGTGAAAGTGAAATAAATGCTTGTCTTTTACACAACATCTACTTTTCCAATTTTAGATAGCAACTTTTTTTGATAAAAAAAAGTATTATTATTGAACTGTCCTGATAATTATGCAATTGATATTTTATATTTTCTTTATTGTTGACTTTTAATTTTAATTTAACTATGAGCTTGCTATTTATTTATTATTGGAATAAAGAAATTTATCACATTTGTTCACAAATTCTACCTCGAATGGGACAAAAGTCGATGCTAGTAGGTTGAATGTTATTACTAAGATTTAAAATCTAATATTCATATATGTGTGTTAGAGTTTATAGTGGTTATATTGTTTATTAAAAAAAAAGGGTTAAATAAATTTTTTATTCTTATAGATATAGTCTTTTTTTTTTAGTCTTTAAAAATTTTTTTTAAATGATGGTTCTTCTAAAAATTTGCATCCATATAATTGATCTCTGATGTTAAATGTCACTAATGGATACTTACGTGGTCGTACAAGTAGATTAAAAAATATTTTTTTAAACTGATTTATTTTTCATTTTTACAGCATGTACACGTGCTTTCTATTTTAATAGAAACCCTAAACAAACCAAATCTCTAACTCTCTTTTCTTCACTCTCAGTCGTGTTTTCTTCACTTTGTCACACTTTATCCGGCCATTAAAGACACGGCATTGAAACATGTGGTCCCAACAACTTTGATGGTATTCACATTTCAATAGTTGTGGTCCTAACATTGACGAAGTTTTCTTTGATTCGAAAAATTTGTGTTTGTTGTGGTCCCAACATTAAGGTTAGTCCCACATGTGTTTTCATGTGTTGTGTTTGTTGTATTATGATTTGTTTATGTTCTCAAATATTGGATGTCTTTGTTATGCCCCACATGGTTCTGAAATCATTGCATGTGTATTTTGTTGTGTTGAATGTAAACATCTAGGGTTTTGTCGTGTTGATTGTGAATGTAATGTCTAATTTACCCTCTTTCATATTTGTAATGTACAGGATATGGGGTTATTTAAGGTGGTATTTTACACCAAGGATTCATTTGTAAAGGATGCAAAGTTAAGGTAAGTGGGTGGGGATATTTATGCATTAAATGGGAAAGACTTTGATTTTTGGTCCTTCTTTAAAGCCTGTGACTTAATTAAGGGGATGAACTCATCCTTTAATATTGATAATGTGAAAATGTGGGGGAAACATGAAGAAGGTTGTCTTGAAAAGGGTCTAAAACCCTTTAGAAATGATGAAGATGCATCAATGTTAGCTTTTTCTGTTGAGAAGAATAATTATGATGTTGAAATATATACGGAGCCAAAATTATCAATGAGTGAGAAGACTTATATGGAGAGGTTAATAGAGAAACAAAAGGGACATGAAAGTGTTAAGAAAACTGTTGAGGAAAGTGTTGAGGACAATGAATCAAATGAAAAATATTTGGATGGTATACACTGTAAAGAAGAGAAAATGCATGATTTTGATGAAGACTGTGATGAATGGTTAAAATTGGGGTGAATAAAGGTGAGCCTAAAAGGGAGCCTGTTGATGGTGTTAGTAGAAGTGAAGTAACTAACTGAGTGTTTACCACAGTATATATGGATAGGGAACATGTCATAGAAGATTATTATATGACTGATGAGCTTGATAATGGGACAGATGAAAATAGTTGTAATGGAAGGCCTATAGTGATTAGGTTCAATGGAGAGGAAACACTTAGAAGGGGTTTCACATTCAAGGTGGGAATGGAATTTTCATCTCTGAAGCAATTTAAGAAATCTATACTAGAACACGATGTGTTGAATGGTAGGGAGGTAAAATTTGTCAAAAATGATAGGAATATGTATAGTTTTTTTTGTAAGGACAAAAAGCATTGTAACTACACTGTGCTATGCGGCATAGTTTTAAGAACTACAACATTTAAGATTAAAACTTTGTTTCAGAAACACAAATATGAAAGAAATTTTTTCAACAAGAATGCCAATGCTGATTGGATTACTAGAATGATTGAAGAAAAGTTGAAGAACAATACAAATAGCTAGGAAATAAAATGAAGTTGTAGCAGAAGTAATACTAAGGTTTGCTACAAAAATCACTGGATGCAGGGATTTCAAAGCTAGGTAGCTAGCTAGACAGGTTGTTGAAGGGGACTTAGCCAAGCAATATAGTATGTTATGGTCATATGGTGTTGAATTGAGGAGGGCATCAAAAGGAAACAAATTCAAGTTAAACTTTGGAAGACCAACACCTAGGTTGCAACCAAGGTTTGAAAGGTGTTACGTGTATTTTGATGGGAAAAAGAAAGCATTGAAGGTTGCACGTAGACCATTCATAAGATTATATGAATGTCCCTTCAAGAACAAATATGGTGGAATTTTGTTGGTGTTGTTAGAAGGGATGTCAATGACAAGTATCTTCCTATTGCTTATGGTGTTGCAGAGAATGAAACTAAGGACTCTTGGAGTTACTTTGTTTAGTTACTTCTTGATGACATTATAGTGATAGTAGGTGGTGTTTCATATCTGATCAACAAAAGGTATGTGTAATGGTCCATTGGTGGTTATTATAGTTATTTGTATTTTTCTGCTTTACTAATGGTTTATGTTGTAATATGTACAGGGACTAGAGCAAGTATTTGAGGAAGAATATCCTGAATTTGAACACAGGTTTTGTCTAAGGCATTTATATGCTAACTTCAAGAAGAAGTTTGGAGGCGGTACATTATTCAAAGATCTCATTATGGCTGCAACAAAGGCAACCTTTTATGAAGCTCAAGAGCTAAGATGATTCAAATTAAGGAGGTGGGTTTAGATGATTTTGAATGGTTAAATGCTATACTCAAACATAAATGGTGTAAGCATGCATTTCTCTTTTACTCTAAGTGTGACATTATGATGAACAATCTTAGTGAATCTTTCAATGCAACTATATTGATGCAAAGGGATAAACCTATTATAACCATGTTTAAGTGGATTAGAAACTACCTTATGGGTAAGTTTACCACACTTAGGGAAAAGGTAGAAAATTACAAGGGGAGATAATGTCTAAACCACTTAGTAGGTTAGATAGAGAGATAGAAAAGTGAAAATTGGTAGCACGCATATGTAGGGAGATTAACATTTCAAGTAACACATGTCAAGTTCACAAATAGTTTTGTTGTAGACTTGGAAAAATATTCTTGTTCATGTAACTTTTGGGATTTGGTTGGGATCCCATGTAGACATGATGTTGTTGTAATACATAGGAAATTCGATGATCCCATCAAGTATGTACGCAAGTGTTATCATAGGACCACTTATATATCTTGTTACAATGTAGTTATCACTCTCATAAATGGGTAAAACAAATGGCCAAGGATTGTTGATCATGAAATCTTGCTACCAATGTTCAAGAGAGGTCCAGCGAGACCAAATAAACTTTATATAAGAGAACACCATAACATGTAAGACATGCTTAGAATATGGGCACAACACCATAACATGTAAGAAAAATAAATAACTTGCAGTTTTTTCTGGTGAATTTCCAAGAAATGTTGAAAGACCCACTCAAGGAAGCCAAACTCCAATTGTGCCGACATGACCAAAGAAGAAGGTTAATAACACTTATTCTTCACACAATTGTTTTTTTACTATCATTTATTCTTGGCAATGACTTGTCTCAAATTGCATTGGTAGCATGGTAGGCCAAAAGAGAATTCCAAAAAGGGAGACCCAACTAAAAATACAAAGGCTCCTGCTCAGAATCATGCTCAACCTGATATGACTCCTGCTCAGGATCATACACAACCTGCTCAATTTGATATGACTCTGGCTCAGGATCATGCACAACTTGCTCATCCTGATATAACTCATGTTAAACTTGATATGACTCTTGCAACAACTTCTAATCAACTTGCAACACATGTTTATGTATGCTCTGATGAGGCAATAAGAAGGTATTGTGGGATATGAAGATCATGGTGAGCAAGCATGTGAAGTTAGTGATTGATAACAAATAAGCTATAAGCCCTGACAATAATTGAGTGCTACATGGAAGAAGCAGGCACATTGACATGAAGTTCTATTTTCTGCGCAACGAGGTTCATAATGGAATGCTTGAAGTTGTTTATTGTAGTACTGATGTGTTGACCAAAGCAATCAAGATTGAACATTTTATCCAATTGAGGGATGGAATTGGTGTTGTTGATTTTAGTTTAGAATGTGGAATAAAGGATGGTATTGAAGTGCAATCCTAATTCAGTTATAATTTCATTTAAGTGTAATTTAAGAGTTTAATTTGAGATGCATTTTGGTTTGACAACTCATCTTTTGAGTGTGTATAAATATTGAACTTCAGTTCAGATAGAAAAAGAGAATTACTTGTAACAGAATTTCAATTTCAGTAAAAAAAAAAGTTAGATACAGATTTACATTCTCTCTCTTTCATCTTCATCTTCAACCTTGTGTACCAAGAAACGCAAATTGAATTTTAGATGTTTTGTTTTAGGTGACGAGAGTGAATGTGAGTTGGAAGAGTAAAGATCTCATAATGATTCAGTTGAAGATATTAACAATCTTTGAAAAATAAGACTTAGGGATGTCAGTTTGAAGTTGTTAATGGAGATCTCATGGAAATTATTTGTTTGTAGTTTTAAAGTTGGGTATTTTTCTCCCGCAGAGATAGAGATGAGAAAAAAGTTTCCCCAATGATATTTTGGGTAGGGATGGGAGAAGTACCTTCCACTTTGCGGATTCTCCAACCCTGGTTATATTATTTAAATTATATATATATATATATATATATATATATATATATATATATATATATATATATATATATATATATATATATATATATATATATATATATATATATATATATAATCTTACATATTTTATTATTAAAAAATATTATTAATATATTAGTATGAAGAGTCATCTTTGGATAATTGCCTTTATATTAGTGATTATCATCAAATTCTATTTCGTTATGCATTGTGCGTATTTATAAGTAATTTTTTATAGATTTTTTACATTTATAATTTGTTATTTTTTATGTGAATTATGATACATTTTGGTAATGATTTTTTGTATAATTATGTATGGTAGCAATAGATTATGTTGGATTTTTATTTTTTTTATATATATATATATATATATATATATATATATATATATATATATATATATATATATATATATATATATATATATATATATATATATATATATATATATATATATATATATATATATATATATATATATATATATATATATATATATATATATATATATATATATATATATATATATATATATATATATAAAAGCAATTAAGAGTATTTTTATTTTTTTGTTTGTTATTAATGCAAGATGTGTTTATTTTATTTTATTTTTAAGAAAGATGCAAGATATATGTGTGTTTTTTCAAAAAAAAATAATAATGAAATGCTAGTGCCATAGTTTTGAACAAAAAATATAGAAATTTTCTTAAGATTGATGAACGTGAATTTCCGTAGAAACTGTGCAGATCTGTGGAAATGGAGCTGAAAAAAATATTTTCTCTTAACGGAGATTGGGGACAGAGACGAAGAAAAATTGAGAAGTGAGGCGGAGAGCGGAAAAGTTTTTTCCGCACATTTCCTACCTTGATGACATCCCTAACCAGACTCATTAGTAGAAAGCAATTAGAGAACTTATGAAAAAACTAGGATGACTGAAGTTAGTTAGTTATTAGTTGAGGCATAAAACATCAATTAAATACTTAGTGTTACTTATAAAGGAAAATGGATAATATAAGGTTTTCATTGATTATCACAATCTAAATTTGGCGACCCTAGAGGACAAGTAAGGAATGCTAGTACACGACATGTTAGTCGACATTGCAGCTAGCCACTACATTTCCACCTTCATGGATAAGTGTTCAAGCTACAATTAAATATTCATGGCAAAGGAATACATTTATAATACAATGTTAAAATTTCCAAATAACCTTGAGAGGTATTAATGGATTGTCATGTTATTTTCATTTAAGAATGGAAGCTCCACATATAGTACCAGAGAGCCATGAATACCATATTCCATGATCTCATTAGAAAGAGTATAGAGGTGTATACTGATAATTTAGTATTAAAATCCAATGACTTTCAACAACATTTGTTGGAACTAACATAAGTGTTAAAAGAAAATGAGATTGTAGGGTTTGAAGATAAATTCAACCAAAGTGAGAATTTAGAGAATGGACAACTAATTTCCCAAAATTTTTGTGTACAACATTATAAGATAACAAACTCAAAATTTTTGTGTACAACATTATAAGATAACAAACTCAAGAATCTCATAATTGGCTTGAGCTTGAAGAAAGTAAAATAAGGTATTGATTCTCTTGTATTGATCATGTGGCCAAACTATATATATATATATATATATATATATATATATATATATATATATATATATATATATATATATATATATATATATATATATATATATATATATATATATATATATATATATATATATATATATATATATATATATATATATATATATATATATATATATATATATATATATATATATTAAATTGATAAATAATAATAGTTAAATTATTAAAATAAATAGTCAACTTTTTAGAATTGAACCAAAGACTTTATTGAAATATAAAGTGTATGGTTATTAGGTGCAACCAATGGATCGACATAACTTTTTATGAAAAGGTTTCACTACTAGAAATGTTCAGTTTTCCTGCGGATTTACCTGCGGAATATGACCAAACTTTCGCAGGAAACACGTTTCCTGCGATTTTTCCTGCGATTTTCTGTTTCCAGCTAAAACCTTCGTGGATAATTCATTTAGCAGGTAATGTCGCAGGAAAAAGTCGCAGGAAAAAGTCGCAGGTAAAAGTCGCAGGACAAAGTCGCAGAAAAAAGTCGCAGTAATAAGTCGCAGGAACAGGTCGCAGGTATAACAGCTAAATTCGCAGGTAAAGTCGCAACAAGTTGAGAATCCGCAGGTACGTTCGCAGGTAAGTTCCCTATCGTTTTTAGTTTTTTTTTAGTTGTGTTTAATTCATATTTAAAATAGTATAATTAATGTTAAATATCAAAGTAACAATAATATAAAAATAAAAATCTAATTTGAATAAGTCAATGCAACACTAATTACATTCAAATTTTTAAAGTCAATAACAAGTACTTCTAGAGTTACATTACTAAATATGTCGTAATCAAGTTACTAATTATCACTTGTCCAACCAAATTAATAAGAAAAAAAAATGCAATTTCAAACTAATTAACAAGAAAAAGTAATCCAAATCAAAATTCACTACTAATATGTTCACTAATGTCTTCATCTGATTCATCAACATCATCTTCACTTTGATTATCAATTTCATTATTGGCTTGAGGTGGATGAGAAGAAGATGCAGCAAATCCTAAATGATTCATTAACAATGAAAGTTTATTGTTCGTTTCAATCATCTCTTTTTCTTGTCGTTGCAATTGTTGCTTCATCTCCAACTTCTCTTGTTCTTGTCTTTGTAATGATGCATTGAGAGCATGGACTTGACTTCTCAAATCATCAACCTCTTGAGAGTTACTCGAAAGACTTGGTTGAGTTGACGATGGAACAAGAGTCTTGGCAATGGTTCCAAGACCGAATACCCTCCCTTTCTTCCTTCCAAATGACTCCACCCATATATCCAAATCAGACGGCATTTCAACAGTAGGTTGACTATCAACTTCATCCTCTCCTGGAACAGTTGAATTTTCAGAAGAAATCATCAACTTTTTCCTTTCAAATTCCTCCTGAAAGAAGATTTAAAAAAACATAATAAGTAATTAATATTTTACCAGGCAATTCCAAATTAGTGCTAATTGTCATAATAAAAATTCAACTAAATGAACTAGCAATTCATTCACATAACATTAACTGGAGAAACTCGTAATTGCTCGTTGTTAACATTAACTCTAACCAATTTCCCAACATATTTTTATTTGATTTGATTGTAAATTGCAAAACACAGAGGAAAAAAATGAAGGTATGGTTTACACTTTCTAAGATTCATTCTTTAAGAAATTGATTTGGAGTACTTACATATGCAGATTCAGCGTGAACACCCACCCAACTTTGATCCTTTTTTCGATGAGTGCGAAAATAAAATTCAGTCAATGATGGATCGGCACCCTTTTCCTTTTTCTATCAATTACAAAATAATAATGTCATTTATTATAAATACTAATTTATGAAATATAAAGAAAAATTATAATACCATTCTTTTCCAATGCAAACGATGAGGAATAGATCCTCCAGTGTGAAGAGATGCACCATCCATAGAACAACGATTTCTTTTATTTGTTGCAGATACTTTTTTGAACTTGGAGGAATTCCAATGTACCGTTAGTTTCTTCCACACCTCCTCTCCCATCCATTCTGGCCTATACTCTAAATCTCTCCGAACATCTTGCATTAATTGAGACATCTTAGCTGCACTTCTTTTTTCAAAGTTGCGACGCACTGTAACCTTGTGCTCGGGTGGCCATGTAAACTTTTGCTGTATCAAAAAAACATGAATCAATTACTTAATATTTCAATATGCTTCTAACATGAAGCCCCATCTTTAGATTTAATTACCTTAAATAGATCAAAGAAAGAATCTCGCTGCTCTTTTGATAATTTCTTCCATGACGGTTTTCCCTCATTCAAATGAGTACGTATGATGTGAGCAATTTCTGAAACTACCAATTTATGATGATCAAATCTGAAAAAGAGACATTTAAAAAAAAACAAATATTACTTAAATGGAGAAAGTAATGTTACATATAAAATATAGTATCTTTTATTAGCTATTATATACGAGTAAGAGACTCACCCATCACCTTCGGGAACTATTGGGATTCTAGTTCCAACGGTGTCTCCACTAGCATGGCTAGATGAAGATGGGGCTTCAACGACCATAAATTGAGAAGGGATGGGTCGAGATCGATGTTGTGATTGAGGTTGATTGGGTTGAGAAGGAATGGGTCGAGATTGAGGTTGATTTTGAGATTGAGGTTGATTTTGAGATTGAGGTTGATTAGGTTGAGGCTGAGGTTGATTGTGTTGGGGTTGAGTTTGTAAAGGGTGAGATTGGGTGGATTGAGGACGAGGTTGAGGTTGATTGTGTTGAGGTTGAGAATAATGCGATTGGGATATAGATCTAGATGGTGGTCGAGTGAGTTGAGGTCGAATTGGATGTGGAATAGGTTGTGGTTGTGGTCGGAGTTGAGTGAGTTGAGGCCTACTTGAATGTGGAATGGGTTGGGGTTGAGGTTGAGTATGATATTGAGTGAGATGAGGAATAGGTTGGATTTGAGGTTGAATGAGATGAGGAATAGGTTGGGGTTTAGATTGAGTGAGTTGAGGTTGAGTAAGTTGGGGTTGAATAAGATGAGGAAGAGGTTGGGGTTGGATGACTTCATGTTGAGTAGATATATAACCTTTTCCATAATTCTTCTTCTTGGACTTTTTAAGTGACTTCATCTTGCAAGATATACCAATTTGAATATCTTGATTTGTTACTGTTAAAGTGACCAGGCTGAAAAAAACAAAAACAAAAATTAGATTAATAAATATACCAAGATTGGAAATCAGAACCAAATTTCAACAATAACAACTTCCATCAATGCAAAATATAAGGCAATGTTCAGTCATTTCAGCAAATAATTAAATAAATATTTACAAAAATAAATAAATATAATGAACCAGAATCCAGATTCCACATAAAATGTACTTATAAATAAATATTACTAATATTAAACTCAAAACTAAGGTTAAATAAATACTTACAAAAACATAGCTAGTGGATGATGTCAATTTCATTATATGTCATAAAATGAGTTGCTCTTACCTTTTTACTACATGCTTATATGATCATTCGGTATCTCAGCGAATTAGTCGAAATCACACTGAATCAATGACTTACCTTGAAATGAAAACAGTAAGCACTCCAAAACAGAGCAAAAGCAGAGCAAAACATGATAAAATCTTCTGTTTTTCTCTAAACAAAATAAACAAAAATTTGTCTCTAAAGATGAATGCATCAAAAATATCAAGAGGACAGTAGTTGAATACTAGCTTTAAACATGCTCTAAAGCTGCTTTAAACATGATGAAAGCAGCCATGAGTCATGATAATATGAAATATATTTTAAAAAATTGTTGTATTTTGATGTTGACTTATGTGAGACTCTTCTTAATGATTGATTTTTCCCCTGTCAAATGCAGTCCAGTTTTAGGCCTCTTAGAATATTCTCAACTATATTCTTATTCTCATGCAGCTGAAATAGCATGGAATAAAATGAGGAAAGAGTTAAATAAATCTCCAAGCACTCATCTCATACCAAACTAGACATAATTGTCTCAAACCTTCTCTCTGAAGCTCTAAGAATAGGATTTTGAAACAGGTTTTACTGTCAGGTAACAACATAACCAAAGCTTCTTTCATCAATATGAAAGAATTCAAGACCATCAAAGCTACATCCCTAAGCTACAGAATGACAGTTTCATATGATTCATGACAATTAATATTTTGTTTTCTTCCTTGTATTATCCATCATAATTTTGACATATAATGTAGATATGAACTATATATACAAGAAGTCATAAAGTAGTACCTACCTTGAAATTTCAAAATCAATAGCTTTGCTCGGCACCGAAAATGAGTTCAAATTTGTACTTCAACCTGCAAGAATAACAATTGATTGTATTAACCTCTATCAAACACGAGTAAAGATACTCCATAATTACAATTTACTATAGTACTTCCTATTGTGGTCTTATTACAAACACGAGTAAAGATACAAATCAGCTTCCTGTATGCTTACAATTTACTATAGTACTTCCATAATTACAATTTACTATAGTACTTCCTGTATGCTTACTATAGTTCATTCGCACACATCACCACATTTCAATTTTCAATTTTTTCTTTAGACACACCACCTCTTCCACAATCCAACAAATTAAATTATTTGTTATGATTAGAATCAAAACCAGAACTGTAAATAATTAACTATGAAGAAAAACTAACTTAACAGCTTCATAACGAAACAAGTCGCAAAATAATTTATAGAATATGGACCGCAGGCAAATAAAACTTTTGTCATTTTCTTTAAAGGATCCCATAAAATTACCCAACTTGCCTGCAACTGCAGCTGCAACAACAATAACTGGGTCTACTCCTTTAATTAATTCATCTTGGATCTTGTGTCTTATTATTATTATTATTGTCTATTATAGGCAACAGAGACTTTGATGTTACTTTGGTGCAACAAATATTAAACAAGAGAAAACAATTCCCATCTAATGAAACTAACTCAGAACCGCGACGCAACAACAATGTTACTTTGATGTATTGAAAGAAAAAACAATAAATTGATAGCATACAAATATAGATGATGCCGCGCCCACGAATTTGATCCGATTATCATAATCTATAACAGCCTCAACGACATTGTTTTTCAGCAGCATTTACAATGTAACAGTGTACCAATATAATCGACACAAGACTAGACAGCCTAACCAATGAAACCAAAACAACACCTGATGGAAATAGCAGAATACCAGCAATAACAACCAAATAAAAACAGCAGTAGCAAATTATAGACTGTTATAATTCCTGCAAATCCGATCTGATTTACTCAATGAATCAAGTGAAAACCAGAACAGCAACAACATGTTACAATATCCACACAATTACCAACCTATTTGTAATAATCTAGATACAAAAAAAAAATCATCATACAACTAGTATTAAAAATACATAGAAACATTTCATCAAACATTTATAGTGCAATAAAGGATTTCTGTAAAAACTACACACCTAGACATTTCATCAAACATTTAGAGTGCAATAAAGAAATTCCAAAAAACATATCAAAAACACATTGAGACATTTCATCAAACATTTAGAGTGCATCAAAGTAAAGGCTTCAATTCAATTAATAAGAAATACAACAAATTCAGCAACATGTAATTTTTATGGCAATGAATATTCATAAACATTAAATCATAACAAACTATCAAGAAGCTCAAATGCTCAAAATATTTATTTTACCTTCACAACAATTATATTAAGACATCAAAATATGTAACACTCTATATGATGTTCTATAGGCTATATATTTACATTTGTCTCTCTCCCACCTTTAATTTTTTACACTACACATTTTTTATAAAAAAATATATATATATTGAGTTTGACATTAATATTTTTGATGTCCAAACATTATTTTTCTCTACGGAATTAGGGTAATTAATAAAGACGTATGCATCATTGACTTGTGCATATTGAATAAAGTGTTGTAGCAATTAGTCAAATGCTAATAATTGGCAATTATTAATTGAGAATTTTTAATTTGATAAAGATATTTTATTTTTACTTTTTAGTTAGCTATAAATATAGTGTATTAACAAGTGAAGTTTCTTCTACAGTCACAATTCACAAAGAACACAAACCATATAAAGTTCTTCAGAAAAAAGTCCACATTAAGACTAATTCATGTTTGTTTATCTTTTGATTTCAAATGAACAGCTTCTTAGCTTTGATGATCACTGGATGTATGCTCCCATTGCTTACAATGGAATGAACATTGGACTTAACCTCAACATTGCACCAACCAAACTACCATAGAAATTTAGAAGAAAATAAAGAGCTGAAGCTTCATGCCATTTGGAACTTTGTGATGTTTCTATTCTTTTGATAGGTATTTAATTATTCATTAGCAGCATTTATTTAATCCTAAGGATGTATAACCATGTGTATTCTTTAACCATGAGATATCATATTGAGCTGATTTCTTGACTCATTATTCATTGTTTCTTAAGTTGGTTTCAACGGTTTCAGTGGCCTCTAGCCATTGGCATCTTACCTTGTATACTTCAAGAATCCAAAATTAGCTTGTAATCCAATAATACTCTCACAATTGATCTTTTATCAGTTATAGATGTACCCAACATTTGAAGTTTTTGGTTACATCTTTGATATTATATTTTTCTTTCCATGAGTGTCATTCAGATCTAACACAGTACCTTCTAGGGAAAAAGATGTTATGTTAGAATCTAACACAGTACCTCTACACCTCTCTCTACTATAAACCTAAACCTAAACCTTCCACCTCACATGAACTATCAAACTGAAGAGGTATATGCAAACAGAAATACAACCACAAAAACACATTTACCGAATCGCATACACGTCACCGATTAAACACAGCACACAAATATTGATTGCAACCATTAAATCAAAATGATACGGAAACTTCTACAGCATGACAGAATGTAAATTACATCAGTAAATCAGTAAGCAATAATTCAAGCAGAAATCATGCTGAATCTAGGATGAAAATGGAACGAAAGTTTGAATCAACCTTAACTATTATTGAAGATGATAAACAAACAGTACTAAACGTTAATAGATCAATATGTTGTTTATGGAACCCGGTATGAACTCTAAAGCAGAGAATAAGAACAAAATCGTTACCCTGAGATACTCTCCACAAGATTCAACTTTGACCATTGCTCGGCATCGACGCCGTATCAAACCCGTGGTCGTAAGATCGGGATAAAACACCGTTGACTGTATTGAGTTCAATGAAGCATTTCATCAAACAAGTTGTGTGTGTGGAGTTACGTAAAATCAAATTAGGGAAAAAGAAAAAAGAGAGATGTAAAAATGATGAATCTAACCGTGCGTTGGTTTGAAGGTGTTTACGTAATCACTGATTGGAGGAACCCTCTTTACGAAGTCTCTTCCACAGCTATTCAGAGCTACTCTCTCAGTCGAGTGGAGAAACCTCTTGCACCTTCGTTCCCAAGTTTATTTCTTTTCACCCAATTTGTAATTTTTTCGGTTTTAAAATAAACATCATTCTAACTTATAAATAAACATCGTTTTCTATGTAAACAAAAAATAAACTATATAAATTATATGTTTTAATTTCACCAAAACAAAAAATAAATATATTTAGTAAAACTAATATTTTTTTAATAAACTTAAATTCATTATTAAATTTAATTTAAAATTAAAAAAATTAAAAATTAAATTAAAAATAATTAATAAAATAGAATAAATAGAGATTAAAAACATCATTCTAATTTAATAAATATTTTTTCAAAAAAATTTGCAAAGCTATGAAATCTTAAAAAATGTTTTAAATAAGAATAATAGACACTCAAATTATCTTAAAGAAAATAAATCTAAAAAATAATTCTTGACAAAATTTAAACAAAAACTATTATTATTGAATAAAGTATAAAATTTTTTTTTGTGAAAATTATTTTAAAATAGGTTTGTTTTTATATTATATATATAAATCTAAAAAAGCAATATGTCAATTATATATTACAATTTTATTTAATAATAGTAAAAATTTAATTAAATAAATACACTTATATTTTTACAATTATATCATAAACTATTATTTTTAAAATATTAAATAAATATATTTTTTCTTTAAAAAATAACTAAAAAAACAAAATTAA